GGTTGCACACAGAGGGTTGTGGTAGGGCTCATTGACCATATGGAGGCCAGTGACGAGTGGTGTCCCTCAGGGGTTAGTGCTGGGTCCGATACTCTTCAAATTTAGGCTAGATATTAGAAAAATGTTTTTTACTGTGAGGCTGGTGAGACACTAGCACAGGTTGCCCAGGGAGGGAGTAGATAACCCAATATTCAGAGCCAGGCTGGATGAGGCCTTGAGCAATCTGATCTAGTGAGGAAGTGTCCGTGCCCATGGCAGAGGAGTCTGTGACTAGATGATCTGTAAGGTCCATTCCAACCCTTAAATTCTATGATTCTGTGATCTCCAATAGATTCACCCTTGTCTTCACTGTTTCCTCATATGCCTAGAAACTATCTTTGTCCAAACAGTCTGGGGGTGACAAAAGTGTCTGGAGGAGCAACCAATGCAAGAAGGAATATGTGTACAAGTGAGAAATATGAAAAAAACCAACACAGACAAAACCAAAGCAGCCCAACTGAGCATAGTTTTCTGAGAAACTGGAGGAAGCATGCTGCTTCCAGTTTCATGGAATTTATGTTTGCAATTAGCTAAAACTGCTGAATACTTTTGAAAGTTAAAACATCAGCTCTCTGTATTACCATTCCACATAGCCTGTGGATGTTGACAGTTGTGACTAGAGTCACTGCAAACAAACATGAGCATTGTGTCAAACAATTTCCTTTTGGACAATTTGTATGGACTTTGTATAAATGCACATAAAAATTTATCTTTTCTCCTCTGCAGTAAATGGAGCTGCCTTGCCACCTCTCAGTGGATTCTGAAAGGAATGATACCTTCCAGAATCCATGGTGATCTTCCACAAACAAGTGAGCCCTTTCATTACTTGTCATGGGGAAAGCAGTGGCAGTTCAGTCCAGTCTGCTGATACAGTGATTTAGAAATATATGTGCACTTGTTTATGAGGTAGTTGATGCTGTGCATCTTCAGTTGCATTCTCCTGAAAACCTGTAGGGCACTCTCATGTACCTATAATGTTCAGATTTTTCTGCTTCAGAGCCTGAGGTAGATTTTCAGCATAAGCACTGTCCATGAAAACAATTAATGCAATTTTAAGTTGGAAACATACAATAAGCTATGGAGATAGTCCTTCCTCTAAGACTACCCTCCTATTTCCCTGCTTAGTATTTCATTTGAGCTTAGAAGTGCTCTTAGCCCTCTAAATCACTGCACTGCAAACTTGATTCATTTCACTGTTGTTATTACTGAACAACAATATGTTATTACTGATATTTCAGTAATAACCTCTTAAAAGACAGAAAAGTACTGGAGGAGTCATACCTTTTTTTTGTCTCTTACTGAGCAGTCCTTAGCAGGAGAGACATTTTCTTCTACAGGTATTTCACAGGAAGAACAGCTTTCCTTGCCCTTTTCTTCCATGAGATCACTCATTTGACCACCCTTGTGAAATATGTACATATGTGTTAGACATCTACAGAAGTATACATAGACTCGTAAATGAAAGTTTTATGGTGCGCGCAACATACGTACTGGGCTTTTAGGTATTCTTAACCAATAGCAAATGCAGAACAAAATGTGGCTCAGTAAGGCCACGATTTTAACACCTCGATTTTAAAACCATAGTAAAATAATACGGCGAACATATACAAAAGCTGTATCACCAAAGCCGCTCCATAATTCGTTAAGCAAAGGTCACAATACCTCCAAAGTAAGAGAGAAATCGGTCGCTGCGTTGCCGTGTCTGCCCGCTCTGTGGCAGCAGCGCTGCCTTGGGGCGGGAGCAGACTACAGCAGGTGGCACTGCTGCACTAGCTGAGATTCTGTTGGCAGCTTCCCTGCCTTTTAAACCTCAGCCCTTAACTTTGCGAAAGACTCCACCACCTCCTGGGCAGCCTATTCCAATGCCTGAACACCCTATTCTTTTTTTTTCTAATATCCAGTCTGAATCGCCCCTGTTTCAGCTTAAAGCCATTGCTTCTAGTCCTCTCACTGCTGGCATGGTGGAAGAGACCAGCCTCCGCCTCACTACAGCCTCCTTTCAGGTAGTTGTAGAGAGTGATGAGGTCACTCCTGATCCTCTTCTTCTTACGAGTAAACAAGCCCAACTCTCCTCAGCTGTTCCTCAAAAATATATATGAATACATTAAAATATACCATTCCAGTGCTGGAGACTTTAACCACAAACACAACCAGAAATTTTATGATTTTTGGAGCTCCTCCAACCCTTCCCCAGGTGCTTCTCAGTCTCTCCCATTACCTCTGAAAGGTAGTGCAGTGGTTTCTGTCAGATTTCCCTGCACTTCAGAACTGCTGCCCAAACCATGTCCTAGAGAAGATCTTCATTTCACCACTGCCAAATGGTCAGCACCTCTCTAAAAGAAGCAGGAGTCCAGGCCTTAAGTTTCCTCTGTTGCAGCTACTTCCTGCAGGGTCACAGTCAAACTGGGAAGAGAAATGAGAAGGGAGAGACCTCGTAGTAACAGGATGAGATGATTTTTTTTGCGGTGAAAGTAACAGCTTTCAGCCTGTTTTCAAGATTTGCTTCCTACGTCTCCTCTTGTGTCTAAACATACATCTAGCATTGTTAAAGCACTTTATAAGTATGCATGATCATCATCTATGTCTGTTTTATTACAATGTGCAGGGGTCAGGAGCTGGACAGCCACCAGCAGCTACCAGTGTAAGCATGCAGAACTCCCACATGTCATCTGGTGGTGTAAGTATTTGACTCCTTTGACAACTAGGTCCTAGCAGTTATCTGGGACCAAACACCCAAAATCAGATGCCTTATTTTACATCCTGACAGAAAAAAAAAAAAAGCATCTTGATCCAAAGGTGTATTTCAAATGTCCTTGCACCTCAGCAAATATGTGCTACACAAAAAATGTAGTGCATTTCTGTCCCCATATATATTGTAAATATGTAATGTTGAATTTTAATCTCCAGGAAAGATACTAAAAGATGAAGCAGAATGTAACTATGAAAATGTGCACATTTCAGAAATTGCTGAGACTCACAGGACTGATAATCCTCTACAGCGTGTTCCAAAGGGAGATAGGGGAATATGGGAGACTCGGACATCCACTGACAAGCCTGCAGAACATGTGTTGAAGAATGGCTAAGGGAACAGGGGCACAGCCCCAAGAGAGCATTGTGCGAGCAAGAGTTGAGCAAGGCCCTATGGGAGCTTTGACTGTATAACTACGAAGTAGGCCTCAAGAATTTAGCTTCTCAGCATTAGAATTTAGCTTCTCAGGATAATGCTGCAAGCTCAAGGGCAGGCTATTCGGAAGAATAAAGAAGAATTATTCAGAGAATAAAGAAGACTCTTCACAGCTGCAACTGCAAGCAGAAAAAGTATATAAATGTAACTTTTAGACCTTAGGTAATACTCTTAGGTAATGCTAAAGGGATGAATAGGTGCATTTATCATGTACTGTACAAAAGAAGAACTGAGCTAACAATAAAGTTGGAGCTTGCTTTATCACTCACACTGAGTCGGCTGCTTGCTTCCCCGTGCGTTATTCCCCCACAACTGGTGCCTGAACAGAGACTTGAAGCTGGACTCTGGAGCTGAAAGGTAGCAGGGTCGCATGGCTCGGTCAGAGCGCCGGTGGCAGCAGCCAGAGGGCAGCGGTTGCCTAGACCGACCAAAAGGGGTTTGCATGGTCCGAGGAGAGCTACAGCGAGGCAGAGACCGGGACGTGAT